ACCTCGCGTACGTGCCTTGTCTCGCCGTCGCCGTTGGAGCAGCGCTGTCGCCGTTGGAGCAGCGCCATCGCCGTCTGACGGGGTGCCATCGCCGTTGGCAGACGCGAGTAGCCGTCCTTTCTCGCCACCCCGGGAGCGTCACGGGCCGTGCAGAGCGGCCACGATCGAGCCTCCGACCGGCCGCGTGGTCCCGCCCACCGCACCTCGCGTACGTGCCTTGTCTCGCCGTCGCCGTTGGAGCAGCGCTGTCGCCGTTGGAGCAGCGCCATCGCCGTCTGACGGGGTGCCATCGCCGTTGGCAGACGCGAGTAGCCGTCCTCTCTCGCCACCCCGGGAGCGTCACGGGCCGTGCAGAGCGGCCACGATCGAGCCTCCGACCGGCCGCGTGGTCCCGCCCACCGCACCTCGCGTACGTGCCTTGTCTCGCCGTCGCCGTTGGAGCAGCGCCGTCGCCGTCGGACGGGGTGCCATCGCCGTTGGCAGACGCGAGTAGCCGTCCTCTCTCGCCACCCCGGGAGCGTCACGGGCCGTGCAGAGCGGCCGCGATCCAGCCTCCGACCGGCCGCGTGGTCCCGCCCACCGCACCTCGCGTACGTGCCTTGTCTCGCCGTCGCCGTTGGAGCAGCGCCATCGCCGTCGGACGGCGTGCCATCGCCGTTGGCAGACGCGAGTAGCCGTCCTTTCTCGCCACCCCGGGAGCGTCACGGGCCGTGCAGAGCGGCCACGATCGAGCCTCCGACCGGCCGCGTGGTCCCGCCCACCGCACCTCGCGTACGTGCCTTGTCTCGCCGTCGCCGTTGGAGCAGCGCCATCGCCGTCGGACGGTGCGCCATCGCCGTTGGCAGACGCGAGTAGCCGTCCTTTCTCGCCACCCCGGGAGCGTCACGGGCCGTGCAGAGCGGCCACGATCGAGCCTCCGACCGGCCGCGTGGTCCCGCCCACCGCACCTCGCGTACGTGCCTTGTCTCGCCGTCGCCGTTGGAGCAGCGCCATCGCCGTCGGACGGCGTGCCATCGCCGTTGGCAGACGCGAGTAGCCGTCCTCTCTCGCCACCCCGGGAGCGTCACGGGCCGTGCAGAGCGGCCGCGATCGAGCCTCCGACCGGCCGCGTGGTCCCGCCCACCGCACCTCGCGTACGTGCCTTGTCTCGCCGTCGCCGTTGGAGCAGCGCTGTCGCCGTTAGAGCAGCGACATCGCCGTCGGACGGTGCGCCATCGCCGTTGGCAGACGCGAGTAGCCGTCCTCTCTCGCCACCCCGGGAGCGTCACGGGCCGTGCAGAGCGGCCGCGATCGAGCCTCCGACCGGCCGCGTGGTCCCGCCCACCGCACCTCGCGTACGTGCCTTGTCTCGCCGTCGCCGTTGGAGCAGCGCCATCGCCGTCGGACGGTGCGCCATCGCCGTTGGCAGACGCGAGTAGCCGTCCTCTCTCGCCACCCCGGGAGCGTCACGGGCCGTGCAGAGCGGCCGCGATCCAGCCTCCGACCGGCCGCGTGGTCCCGCCCACCGCACCTCGCGTACGTGCCTTGTCTCGCCGTCGCCGTTGGCGCCGTCGCCGTTGGAGCAGCGCCATCGCCGTCGGACGGGGTGCCATCGCCGTTGGCAGACGCGAGTAGCCGTCCTTTCTCGCCACCCCGGGAGCGTCACGGGTCGTGCAGAGCGGCCACGATCGAGCCTCGTGTAGGCTCCCTGTTACACTTCTGGCCGACGATCTTCGAGACCTCGAGCGAGTGCCGGCGACCCAATCAAAGGTCCATACGTTGGAGCAGCGCCATCGCCGTTGGACGGTGCGCCATCGCCGTTGGCAGACGCGAGTAGCCGTCCTCTCTCGCCACCCCGGGAGCGTCACGGGCCGTGCAGAGCGGCCACGATCGAGCCTCCGACCGGCCGCGTGGTCCCGCCCACCGCACCTCGCGTACGTGCCTTGTCTCGCCGTCGCCGTTGGAACAGCGCCATCGCCGTCGGACGGGGTGCCATCGCCGTTGGCAGACGCGAGTAGCCGTCCTCTCTCGCCACCCCGGGAGCATCACGGGCCGTGCAGAGCGGCCACGACCGAGCCTCCGACCGGCCGCGTGGTCCCGCCCACCGCACCTCGCGTACGTGCCTTGTCTCGCCGTCGCCGTTGGAGCAGCGCCAACGCCGTTGGACGGTGCGCCATCGCCGTTGGCAGACGCGAGTAGCCGTCCTCTCTCGCCACCCCGGGAGCGTCACGGGCCGTGCAGAGCGGCCTCGATCGAGCCTCCGACCGGCCGCGTGGTCCCGCCCACCGCACCTCGCGTACGTGCCTTGTCTCGCCGTCGCCGTTGGAGCAGCGCCAACGCCGTTGGACGGTGCGCCATCGCCGTTGGCAGACGCGAGTAGCCGTCCTCTCTCGCCACCCCGGGAGCGTCACGGGCCGTGCAGAGCGGCCGCGATCGAGCCTCCGACCGGCCGCGTGGTCCCGCCCACCGCACCTCGCGTACGTGCCTTGTCTCGCCGTCGCCGTTGGAGCAGCGCTGTCGCCGTTGGATCAGCGCCATCGCCGTTGGCAGACGCGAGTAGCCGTCCTCTCTCGCCACCCCGGGAGCGTCACGGGCCGTGCAGAGCGGCCACGATCGAGCCTCCGACCGGCCGCGTGGTCCCGCCCACCGCACCTCGCGTACGTGCCTTGTCTCGCCGTCGCCGTTGGAGCAGCGCTGTCGCCGTCGGATGGGGTGCCATCGCCGTTGGCAGACGCGAGTAGCCGTCCTCTCTCGCCACCCCGGGAGCGTCACGGGCCGTGCAGAGCGGCCACGATCGAGCCTCCGACCGGCCGCGTGGTCCCGCCCACCGCACCTCGCGTACGTGCCTTGTCTCGCCGTCGCCGTTGGATCAGCGCCAACGCCGTTGGAGCAGCGCCATCGCCGTCGGACGGGGTGCCATCGCCGTTGGCAGACGCGAGTAGCCGTCCTCTCTCGCCACCCCGGGAGCATCACGGGCCGTGCAGAGCGGCCACGACCGAGCCTCCGACCGGCCGCGTGGTCCCGCCCACCGCACCTCGCGTACGTGCCTTGTCTCGCCGTCGCCGTTGGAGCAGCGCCAACGCCGTTGGACGGTGCGCCATCGCCGTTGGCAGACGCGAGTAGCCGTCCTCTCTCGCCACCCCGGGAGCGTCACGGGCCGTGCAGAGCGGCCGCGATCGAGCCTCCGACCGGCCGCGTGGTCCCGCCCACCGCACCTCGCGTACGTGCCTTGTCTCGCCGTCGCCGTTGGATCAGCGCCAACGCCGTTGGACGGTGCGCCATCGCCGTTGGCAGACGCGAGTAGCCGTCCTCTCTCGCCACCCCGGGAGCGTCACGGGCCGTGCAGAGCGGCCGCGATCGAGCCTCCGACCGGCCGCGTGGTCCCGCCCACCGCACCTCGCGTACGTGCCTTGTCTCGCCGTCGCCGTTGGAGCAGCGCCAACGCCGTTGGACGGTGCGCCATCGCCGTTGGCAGACGCGAGTAGCCGTCCTCTCTCGCCACCCCGGGAGCGTCACGGGCCGTGCAGAGCGGCCACGATCGAGCCTCCGACCGGCCGCGTGGTCCCGCCCACCGCACCTCGCGTACGTGCCTTGTCTCGCCGTCGCCGTTGGAGCAGCGCCAACGCCGTTGGACGGTGCGCCATCGCCGTTGGCAGACGCGAGTAGCCGTCCTCTCTCGCCACCCCGGGAGCGTCACGGGCCGTGCAGAGCGGCCACGATCGAGCCTCCGACCGGCCGCGTGGTCCCGCCCACCGCACCTCGCGTACGTGCCTTGTCTAGCCGTCGCCGTTGGATCCGCGCCAACGCCGTTGGACGGTGCGCCATCGCCGTTGGCAGACGCGAGTAGCCGTCCTCTCTCGCCACCCCGGGAGCGTCACGGGCCGTGCAGAGCGGCCTCGATCGAGCCTCCGACCGGCCGCGTGGTCCCGCCCACCGCACCTCGCGTACGTGCCTTGTCTCGCCGTCGCCGTTGGATCAGCGCCAACGCCGTCGGACGGGGTGCCATCGCCGTTGGCAGACGCGAGTAGCCGTCCTCTCTCGCCACCCCGGGAGCGTCACGGGCCGTGCAGAGCGGCCTCGACCGAGCCTCCGACCGGCCGCGTGGTCCCGCCCACCGCACCTCGCGTACGTGCCTTGTCTCGCCGTCGCCGTTGGAGCAGCGCCATCGCCGTCGGACGGTGCGCCATCGCCGTTGGCAGACGCGAGTAGCCGTCCTCTCTCGCCACCCCGGGAGCGTCACGGGCCGTGCAGAGCGGCCTCGATCGAGCCTCCGACCGGCCGCGTGGTCCCGCCCACCGCACCTCGCGTACGTGCCTTGTCTCGCCGTCGCCGTTGGAGCAGCGCTGTCGCCGTTGGATCAGCGCCATCGCCGTCGGACGGGGTGCCATCGCCGTTGGCAGACGCGAGTAGCCGTCCTCTCTCGCCACCCCGGGAGCGTCACGGGCCGTGCAGAGCGGCCACGATCGAGCCTCCGACCGGCCGCGTGGTCCCGCCCACCGCACCTCGCGTACGTGCCTTGTCTCGCCGTCGCCGTTGGAGCAGCGCCATCGCCGTCGGATGGGGTGCCATCGCCGTTGGCAGACGCGAGTAGCCGTCCTCTCTCGCCACCCCGGGAGCGTCACGGGCCGTGCAGAGCGGCCACGACCGAGCCTCCGACCGGCCGCGTGGTCCCGCCCACCGCACCTCGCGTACGTGCCTTGTCTAGCCGTCGCCGTTGGAGCAGCGCCAACGCCGTTGGACGGTGCGCCATCGCCGTCTGACGGGGTGCCATCGCCGTTGGCAGACGCGAGTAGCCGTCCTCTCTCGCCACCCCGGGAGCGTCACGGGCCGTGCAGAGCGGCCACGATCGAGCCTCCGACCGGCCGCGTGGTCCCGCCCACCGCACCTCGCGTACGTGCCTTGTCTCGCCGTCGCCGTTGGAGCAGCGCTGTCGCCGTTGGAGCAGCGCCATCGCCGTCTGACGGGGTGCCATCGCCGTTGGCAGACGCGAGTAGCCGTCCTCTCTCGCCACCCCGGGAGCGTCACGGGCCGTGCAGAGCGGCCGCGATCGAGCCTCCGACCGGCCGCGTGGTCCCGCCCACCGCACCTCGCGTACGTGCCTTGTCTCGCCGTCGCCGTTGGAGCAGCGCCATCGCCGTCGGATGGGGTGCCATCGCCGTTGGCAGACGCGAGTAGCCGTCCTCTCTCGCCACCCCGGGAGCGTCACGGGCCGTGCAGAGCGGCCGCGATCGAGCCTCCGACCGGCCGCGTGGTCCCGCCCACCGCACCTCGCGTACGTGCCTTGTCTCGCCGTCGCCGTTGGAGCAGCGCTGTCGCCGTTGGAGCAGCGCCATCGCCGTCTGACGGGGTGCCATCGCCGTTGGCAGACGCGAGTAGCCGTCCTCTCTCGCCACCCCGGGAGCGTCACGGGCCGTGCAGAGCGGCCACGATCGAGCCTCCGACCGGCCGCGTGGTCCCGCCCACCGCACCTCGCGTACGTGCCTTGTCTCGCCGTCGCCGTTGGAGCAGCGCTGTCGCCGTTGGAGCAGCGCCATCGCCGTCTGACGGGGTGCCATCGCCGTTGGCAGACGCGAGTAGCCGTCCTTTCTCGCCACCCCGGGAGCGTCACGGGCCGTGCAGAGCGGCCGCGATCCAGCCTCCGACCGGCCGCGTGGTCCCGCCCACCGCACCTCGCGTACGTGCCTTGTCTCGCCGTCGCCGTTGGAGCAGCGCTGTCGCCGTTGGAGCAGCGCCATCGCCGTCGGACGGGGTGCCATCGCCGTTGGCAGACGCGAGTAGCCGTCCTCTCTCGCCACCCCGGGAGCGTCACGGGCCGTGCAGAGCGGCCGCGATCGAGCCTCCGACCGGCCGCGTGGTCCCGCCCACCGCACCTCGCGTACGTGCCTTGTCTCGCCGTCGCCGTTGGAGCAGCGCTGTCGCCGTTGGAGCAGCGCCATCGCCGTCGGACGGGGTGCCATCGCCGTTGGCAGACGCGAGTAGCCGTCCTCTCTCGCCATCCCCGGAGCGTCACGGGCCGTGCAGAGCGGCCACGATCGAGCCTCCGACCGGCCGCGTGGTCCCGCCCACCGCACCTCGCGTACGTGCCTTGTCTCGCCGTCGCCGTTGGAGCAGCGCCGTCGCCGTCGGACGGTGCGCCATCGCCGTTGGCAGACGCGAGTAGCCGTCCTCTCTCGCCACCCCGGGAGCGTCACGGGCCGTGCAGAGCGGCCACGATCGAGCCTCCGACCGGCCGCGTGGTCCCGCCCACCGCACCTCGCGTACGTGCCTTGTCTCGCCGTCGCCGTTGGAGCAGCGCCAACGCCGTTGGAGCAGCGCCAACGCCGTTGGACGGTGCGCCATCGCCGTTGGCAGACGCGAGTAGCCGTCCTCTCTCGCCACCCCGGGAGCGTCACGGGCCGTGCAGAGCGGCCACGATCGAGCCTCCGACCGGCCGCGTGGTCCCGCCCACCGCACCTCGCGTACGTGCCTTGTCTCGCCGTCGCCGTTGGAGCAGCGCCAACGCCGTTGGAGCAGCGCCAACGCCGTTGGACGGTGCGCCATCGCCGTTGGCAGACGCGAGTAGCTGTCCTCTCTCGCCACCCCGGGAGCGTCACGGGCCGTGCAGAGCGGCCACGATCGAGCCTCCGACCGGCCGCGTGGTCCCGCCCACCGCACCTCGCGTACGTGCCTTGTCTCGCCGTCGCCGTTGGATCAGCGCCAACGCCGTTGGACGGTGCGCCATCGCCGTTGGCAGACGCGAGTAGCCGTCCTCTCTCGCCACCCCGGGAGCGTCACGGGCCGTGCAGAGCGGCCGCGATCGAGCCTCCGACCGGCCACGTGGTCCCGCCCACCGCACCTCGCGTACGTGCCTTGTCTCGCCGTCGCCGTTGGAGCAGCGCCAACGCCGTTGGACGGTGCGCCATCGCCGTTGGCAGACGCGAGTAGCCGTCCTCTCTCGCCACCCCGGGAGCGTCACGGGCCGTGCAGAGCGGCCTCGATCGAGCCTCCGACCGGCCGCGTGGTCCCGCCCACCGCACCTCGCGTACGTGCCTTGTCTCGCCGTCGCCGTTGGATCAGCGCCAACGCCGTTGGAGCAGCGCCATCGCCGTCGGACGGGGTGCCATCGCCGTTGGCAGACGCGAGTAGCCGTCCTCTCTCGCCACCCCGGGAGCATCACGGGCCGTGCAGAGCGGCCACGACCGAGCCTCCGACCGGCCGCGTGGTCCCGCCCACCGCACCTCGCGTACGTGCCTTGTCTCGCCGTCGCCGTTGGAGCAGCGCCAACGCCGTTGGACGGTGCGCCATCGCCGTTGGCAGACGCGAGTAGCCGTCCTCTCTCGCCACCCCGGGAGCGTCACGGGCCGTGCAGAGCGGCCACGATCGAGCCTCCGACCGGCCGCGTGGTCCCGCCCACCGCACCTCGCGTACGTGCCTTGTCTCGCCGTCGCCGTTGGAGCAGCGCCAACGCCGTTGGACGGTGCGCCATCGCCGTTGGCAGACGCGAGTAGCCGTCCTCTCTCGCCACCCCGGGAGCGTCTCGGGCCGTGCAGAGCGGCCACGATCGAGCCTCCGACCGGCCGCGTGGTCCCGCCCACCGCACCTCGCGTACGTGCCTTGTCTCGCCGTCGCCGTTGGAGCAGCGCCAACGCCGTTGGACGGTGCGCCATCGCCGTTGGCAGACGCGAGTAGCCGTCCTCTCTCGCCACCCCGGGAGCGTCACGGGCCGTGCAGAGCGGCCGCGATCGAGCCTCCGACCGGCCGCGTGGTCCCGCCCACCGCACCTCGCGTACGTGCCTTGTCTCGCCGTCGCCGTTGGAGCAGCGCCAACGCCGTTGGACGGTGCGCCATCGCCGTTGGCAGACGCGAGTAGCCGTCCTCTCTCGCCACCCCGGGAGCGTCACGGGCCGTGCAGAGCGGCCACGATCGAGCCTCCGACCGGCCGCGTGGTCCCGCCCACCGCACCTCGCGTACGTGCCTTGTCTCGCCGTCGCCGTTGGAGCAGCGCCAACGCCGTTGGACGGTGCGCCATCGCCGTTGGCAGACGCGAGTAGCCGTCCTCTCTCGCCACCCCGGGAGCGTCACGGGCCGTGCAGAGCGGCCACGATCGAGCCTCTGACCGGCCGCGTGGTCCCGCCCACCGCACCTCGCGTACGTGCCTTGTCTCGCCGTCGCCGTTGGATCAGCGCCAACGCCGTTGGAGCAGCGCCAACGCCGTTGGACGGTGCGCCATCGCCGTTGGCAGACGCGAGTAGCCGTCCTCTCTCGCCACCCCGGGAGCGTCACGGGCCGTGCAGAGCGGCCACGATCGAGCCTCCGACCGGCCGCGTGGTCCCGCCCACCGCACCTCGCGTACGTGCCTTGTCTCGCCGTCGCCGTTGGAGCAGCGCCAACGCCGTTGGACGGTGCGCCATCGCCGTTGGCAGACGCGAGTAGCCGTCCTCTCTCGCCACCCCGGGAGCGTCACGGGCCGTGCAGAGCGGCCACGATCGAGCCTCCGACCGGCCGCGTGGTCCCGCCCACCGCACCTCGCGTACGTGCCTTGTCTCGCCGTCGCCGTTGGATCAGCGCCAACGCCGTTGGACGGTGCGCCATCGCCGTTGGCAGACGCGAGTAGCCGTCCTCTCTCGCCACCCCGGGAGCGTCACGGGCCGTGCAGAGCGGCCGCGATCGAGCCTCCGACCGGCCGCGTGGTCCCGCCCACCGCACCTCGCGTACGTGCCTTGTCTCGCGGTCGCCGTTGGAGCAGCGCCAACGCCGTTGGAGCAGCGCCAACGCCGTTGGACGGTGCGCCATCGCCGTTGGCAGACGCGAGTAGCCGTCCTCTCTCGCCACCCCGGGAGCGTCACGGGCCGTGCAGAGCGGCCGCGATCGAGCCTCCGACCGGCCGCGTGGTCCCGCCCACCGCACCTCGCGTACGTGCCTTGTCTCGCCGTCGCCGTTGGAGCAGCGCCAACGCCGTTGGAGCAGCGCCAACGCCGTTGGACGGTGCGCCATCGCCGTTGGCAGACGCGAGTAGCCGTCCTCTCTCGCCACCCCGGGAGCGTCACGGGCCGTGCAGAGCGGCCACGATCGAGCCTCCGACCGGCCGCGTGGTCCCGCCCACCGCACCTCGCGTACGTGCCTTGTCTCGCCGTCGCCGTTGGAGCAGCGCCATCGCCGTCGGACGGTGCGCCATCGCCGTTGGCAGACGCGAGTAGCCGTCCTCTCTCGCCACCCCGGGAGCGTCACGGGCCGTGCAGAGCGGCCACGATCCAGCCTCCGACCGGCCGCGTGGTCCCGCCCACCGCACCTCGCGTACGTGCCTTGTCTCGCCGTCGCCGTTGGAGCAGCGCTGTCGCCGTTAGAGCAGCGACATCGCCGTCGGACGGTGCGCCATCGCCGTTGGCAGACGCGAGTAGCCGTCCTCTCTCGCCACCCCGGGAGCGTCACGGGCCGTGCAGAGCGGCCACGATCGAGCCTCCGACCGGCCGCGTGGTCCCGCCCACCGCACCTCGCGTACGTGCCTTGTCTCGCCGTCGCCGTTGGAGCAGCGCCAACGCCGTTGGAGCAGCGCCATCGCCGTCGGACGGGGTGCCATCGCCGTTGGCAGACGCGAGTAGCCGTCCTCTCTCGCCACCCCGGGAGCATCACGGGCCGTGCAGAGCGGCCGCGATCGAGCCTCCGACCGGCCGCGTGGTCCCGCCCACCGCACCTCGCGTACGTGCCTTGTCTCGCCGTCGCCGTTGGAGCAGCGCCATCGCCGTCGGATGGGGTGCCATCGCCGTTGGCAGACGCGAGTAGCCGTCCTCTCTCGCCACCCCGGGAGCGTCACGGGCCGTGCAGAGCGGCCGCGATCGAGCCTCCGACCGGCCGCGTGGTCCCGCCCACCGCACCTCGCGTACGTGCCTTGTCTCGCCGTCGCCGTTGGAGCAACGCCAACGCCGTTGGAGCAGCGCCAACGCCGTTGGACGGTGCGCCATCGCCGTTGGCAGACGCGAGTAGCGGTCCTCTCTCGCCACCCCGGGAGCGTCACGGGCCGTGCAGAGCGGCCACGACCGAGCCTCCGACCGGCCGCGTGGTCCCGCCCACCGCACCTCGCGTACGTGCCTTGTCTCGCCGTCGCCGTTGGAGCAGCGCCATCGCCGTCGGATGGGGTGCCATCGCCGTTGGCAGACGCGAGTAGCCGTCCTCTCTCGCCACCCCGGGAGCGTCACGGGCCGTGCAGAGCGGCCACGATCGAGCCTCCGACCGGCCGCGTGGTCCCGCCCACCGCACCTCGCGTACGTGCCTTGTCTCGCCGTCGCCGTTGGATCAGCGCCAACGCCGTTGGACGGTGCGCCATCGCCGTTGGCAGACGCGAGTAGCCGTCCTCTCTCGCCACCCCGGGAGCGTCACGGGCCGTGCAGAGCGACCTCGATCGAGCCTCCGACCGGCCGCGTGGTCCCGCCCACCGCACCTCGCGTACGTGCCTTGTCTCGCCGTCGCCGTTGGAGCAGCGCCAACGCCGTTGGACGGTGCGCCATCGCCGTTGGCAGACGCGAGTAGCCGTCCTCTCTCGCCACCCCGGGAGCGTCACGGGCCGTGCAGAGCGGCCACGATCGAGCCTCCGACCGGCCGCGTGGTCCCGCCCACCGCACCTCGCGTACGTGCCTTGTCTCGCCGTCGCCGTTGGAGCAGCGCCAACGCCGTTGGAGCAGCGCCATCGCCGTCGGACGGGGTGCCATCGCCGTTGGCAGACGCGAGTAGCCGTCCTCTCTCGCCACCCCGGGAGCATCACGGGCCGTGCAGAGCGGCCACG